AAGAAATTGGGCTAGTTGCTTTTTTTTTTAATAGGATGAAGTAACAGTACAGATATATCCTTTTCCCATCTTATAATGACCTCCAAACATTGTCTACAAAGTGTTTGGCATTAAAGGAGCTGTCATTTCTCTGTGGCTTTTATCTTTAATTCCAAGTTCTAGCTAAGCAAACCAGCAAGTAAAGAAGGCAGAATGGGTAGAACAGGTTCAATCTGTGTACAGACCCACTCAGAGCAATTTATTTGTGGTCATGATTGTTTAGAGTGATCAGAGACACCCATGACTCTGCTTTACTCCCCAACCTATGTTTCGTTGAGGAAACCAGTGTGAAGAAGGCCAGCCACTCGACTCCACTGTGGGGCACATCTGGATGGGGGCATGCATTTTGGAATTCATAATATTTCATAAAATAATGAAATCACTGACAACCTGATCCCAAAGCAAAGACTGAACTGCTTCTTCACTCCCATCCCCAAACTCACTCCAGATTCTCTTTGCAAGTTAACTCTAGCTTCCTTACAAGGACTGTGTAGAAAGGACTGCACAGAACATTTTTCTGGCCTTAAATCTTTTTCAGGTTCTCATTACTTTTTGTCACAAATAGAGGTAAATGTTTTTTTAAGTTTAAACGTATCTTCCTTTAATAAAAGACAAGCATCCTAAATCTATAAAATATAAAGAAACAGATCCAAAGAAAGTACCAGTTTACTTTTAATAAAACTTCATGAATAACTGTGTGGTAATTTTATATGAACAGCACATATGTTCTTTAGCCCAGAGGAAAAGTCAGGTAAAACATCTATCTACAAATTCCTAGTACGATCATGTTCACAGGTGTTCATAGGTGCTAGATAAAGACAAGAAAAAAAGAGGGATAGAAAATGTGAAAACAGAAAATAAAAAATGAAACTGAAAAGCAAGGAGAAAAAAAAATCACTAAGAGAAAGGTGTTAAGGTTAGAAGTAGTAAGATGCCGTTCAGCAGTAGTCTCCGTCTGTGCCACATTCTGTTTATTTATAAAGCATTTTCACATCATGACCCTTTACATAAAAGCCCTAAATCACCTTACTGCTGTTCCAAATATTGCTCAGTAAACTGTTCTTCAATGAAGTTTTGAACAAAGATTTTCTGAAAACTTCACCTATGAGATTATAAACTCTAGACAACAGCTTTTCATGCAAGTGAAATCACAGACGTGTAAAATAGGAATGGGATTCCAGAAGTGCTTGACTCAGGTAAGACTCACGGTGACTGACATGTGGTGGAGAGCCCAAAAGGCATGGCAGGAAGGGAAAAAAACTTAAAAGAAATAAACTAATGTGTCTGCCATATTTATGTAAATCTTGAGGGTTAAAAAACATTAAAAGTAAAGAGCAGGCATAATGGTACAAGCCTGTAATTCTAGCTCTCAACAGGCTGAGGCAGGGGGATGCCAACTTTGAAATCATGTTTGAGACCAGCCCAGGCTACCAGTCATCTCCATTGACAACCACACTGGATTTAGAACCCCTAGGACACAGACCTCTAGGCATGTTTGTGAGTGTTTCCAGACAGGTTTAACTCAGGAAAGAAAATCCCGTCCTAAAAGAAGATGGCACCATCCTCCAGGCTAGGGGTAAGATGGAATTGAAGCGGGTAAAGGACTTCCAATGGGCAAGCATTTATCTTCCTGCTTCCTGAATGCACACTCGGTGTGGCCAGTCTCCATAGGTTCCTCTACCATGTCTTTCTTCCCTGCCATTATGGACTATGAACAGGAACCATGAGACAAAGAAACCTTTACTCCCCTACGAATCATCTTGTCAGGTATGGCTCATAGTCATGAGGAAAGTAACTCATATACCAGCTCCCTTCTCTTCCTCTTAACACTAAGAGAGAAATACCCTACACTTCTTAAACCATTCACAATAGACCCTCTATAAAATTTCAACAAGTAACTTCAGCATGTCCCATTTCTCATTTCACAACTGAAAACAAATTAATCATAGAGAGCTAAATTCAATACAACACAAAGCACCTGTGGTCTAGTGTCATAATCTGAATTCAGAACTCCTGATCACCAAAGCCTTTGATTGTTTCAATCGCCAATCACATATAGATATTCCCTAAGTTGGTGTTTCCCAAATTATGCTGTGAACCAATCACCATGGATGCCTTGACTCTATCTCTGATCTACTGACACTAGAGACAATGCCCTTAATATTGTGTGAAACTGCTCAGTTGGACTTTTAAAACTTGATAGATCCAAACTGAGGGCATTTTGTAGGAACAGGAATATTTTTCAACCATCATATAAAAATTGATGTATATCTCTGTTCCTTTAAAGTTAATTCTGAATTCTCAATTTTTAACTTATCTACTCAGTTAATCACATTGGTTTAACTCCAACTGGGAAATAAATCACATACACATAGCCAAAAATAAAAGACAACTTCGGCTTCAGTTAAAGGAAATTTAATAGAAACCTGACCAAAGGAATCCCATCCTCTTGAAAAACCATGAGAACTACCTATTGAACACAACTCTTAGACATTTTCTCTATTTTGTAAAATAGAATTAACACATTTAGGACACGTCCACAGGAATTCAAATAAGACAAAATCTATTTTCCTTTATGTTACAGGTGGGGTTGTTTACGTGTTTCAACCCTGAACAAAATACCAGTTAACAGTCTAAATTCAATCATGACAATAAAATACATTCCATTTTCCAAGTGTGCTGGTAATAAATATTTACATTTTAAAAAATAGTTTTTTTGTTTTTTGTTTCTTAAAAAAACACAACATGCTCAAGAGTACACAGAATATGGAAAATTCTGTTGAGAGATCAACTGATAGTATAAAACAACGCTCTTGCATCTTTAAGGATGACACCTCAGGGAGTCTTAACAATTTCCTTCAAAGATGATGTTCAAGTACATTATTAGAACACTATGCCTACTGTATCTAGCAAGAAGCACTGCTCTCTAATTTTTGTACTTTTTAATATCTTCTATACCCACCACCACCTCCACCTCCACCATATGGATCTCCATAGCCTCTTCCCCCATAGCCCCCTCTTCCCCCATAGCCCCCTCTTCCACCATAATCTCCCCTCCCACCATAATCTCCCCTGCCTTGGAAACCTCCTCTACCACCACCTCCACCACTACCACCTCCTCCAAAAAAAAATCTTCCACCCCCACCACCTCTACCACCACCTCCACCTCCCCCACCCCAACCACCCCTTCCTCCGCCTTCTTGTCTCTTTTGCCAAGGGGGCATTTCAGGAGGTGGTGGTTCAATTTCATTAGGCCGTCCTCCCCTATCAGGCACCCTTCCCATCAGCACCTGTGTTTAAAAAAAAAAAAAAAAAAAAAATTAAGTTTCTATTTTCAAAAGTTAAAATTTACATAAAGGTTTCAGATGATGTTAAAGTTATTATTTCTAAGATACAGAAACCCAATGTTTTCATGACATGAAAGTGTTGAACATGGTATGAATTAATACTTGAAATACAAATGCAATGTATGGCAAATTCCTCCAAGTATGGTATTTCTGCACAATCTGGAGCAGTATTTAAGTCTTGCTAATTTTCTCTCATTTAAGTTTGGTTAGCAAATTCTATGATAAATGTGGTATCTAACATACTAAAGTTTTTTTTTTTTTTAAACAACATTTTCAAAACACAAACTATATAAGCTACATTAGTTTATATCAATTTATACAAGTCTGGACTTTCCACTGACAGTGGATTATCCAACAAGACTGTACTCCTAAGGTACATTTTGTTTCAAGATGCATGTATAAGGACTATATAACAGGTGGATGCAGTTAAGGTCAGGGTCGAATGAAATAACTATAATCCCAAGTATTTCTACAAAGACATACAAAAGTTCTCACTGAACTCTTCCTTTAAAAATCCCTACCCTACCTCTAAAATCCAAGATGTGAAATGCTTCAAAATTCAAAAGTTTCTGAACACCAACGTGTCTCTCTCTCTCTCTCTCTCTCTCTCTCACACACACACACACACACACACACACACACACACACACACAACACATCTATACCTAACATCATGGTTTGCACAGTAGAAGCACAGGCACACAAACTATGGTACAAGCTGGACATGGTGGCACATGCCTTTAATCCCAGCAGAGAGGCAGAGGCAGGTGGAGCTCTGTGAGAATAAAGGCCAGCTTTGTCTACATAGGGAGTTCCAGACCAGCTGGGGCTAAAGGGAAACCCTGCCTCAAAAAACTGAAAAAAAAAAAAAAACCCAAAACAGAATATGGTACAAAATTACCTTCAGAATATGCATATAATGTGTACATGAAACAAAATTTTTTGTCCCCTTCCTAGCATTTTAGATAAGGAATATTCTACCTATATGAAATAGGGAGATGACCTACCTATTCCCTTAACCATGTTTTTAACAATACTTGTAGGAGTGAACTAGGGAAAGGACCTAGTAAGTTACTTCATATGCTGGGGACAGAGTGAAGGACAGAGGCTCTGGAGCAGTCAACCCTGCCACAGCCAGGGGGATTCTGCAGCTTCCTGCTTGTGGCTTGCAGCAAAGAAGGCAAAGTATTTACCCCACAACCAAAATGGCTGATGAGCCAACTGGACTGCACTGTCACCCATCCTCTAATCAAAATCACAACCACAAACACTACATTCTCACTGTACAACAAGCTCTCAAGTATAAGACTCTTTAGATCTCAGCAATAATGTCCTAATTGCCATATCATTAAAGAAAAAAAAAAAAAAACCTCAGTCTTTTTTAAGATCTCCTCAAATAATCAGATAATAAAGTAAAAACTCAGAGAAGGCTAACCTTAAAACAATCATCCTGGGGGATGGAGATGCAGCACTGGTAGAGTATCTACCTAGTTCATGTGAGAAGAAGGGAGGGGAAGAACTAGGGGGAGAGGGGAGAAGAGGGGAAGGGAAGAGAGGGGAGAAGAGGGGAGTGGAGGGGAACGAAGAGAGGGGAGGGGAGAAAGGGGAATGGAAGAGGGGAGGAGAGGGAAAGGAAAGAGAGGGAGGGGTAGGGAGGGGACGAGAGAGGAGGGAAAGGGAAGGGCAACCAAACGCCCCTGACAATAGATCCTATCTCAAACTAAAATGATGAAGAATACTTTTAAATGACCTGTATCCTCTGCTTCTGTTATAGTAATAAAGTCCCTACTAAATGGAGAAGACTTTCTATTCCAGCTGACATCCACATTCTAGACTAATTTATTGGTGTTACAGACATGGTACAGTAAAAAGCTCAGACTCCTTGAGTTTGTTTAGGACCCCTGTCGTAAAAGTAGATCTACGCTCTGAATCAGGAAACAGAAGCTCAAAGAGATTTGGCCAACGTGATTCCTTTTTGCAAATACTGGGGCTAGGATATGAACTCGGACTGGTCTACTCTTCTTCCAGCAGAAATATACAGTCAAATGCTAGTGTTCACAATAATTCCTCAGATTCTTACTGACCAAGAGTTACTACAAATGGACACAGCAAGTAACTGTTAATAAAGATGTTGATAAAAGTAATTCTGAATTCCTCTAATTCAGATAAAATTCTGATCTACTTTATGAGAACAGAAACTGAAAGGTACATAAATGCAATAACTAAGCACAGATGAATGGAAACCCCCCACAAAACCAGGACACAAATGAGAAAGTAGACTAAAATCTGTATAAACAGCACACCGAAACGTTGTAAACTCATTTTCTATCACTCTGAAAGAAAAACCAACCTTATTAATGGCGCATGCCGTCTTCTCCCGACTGGTGCCGCTGCTGGTCCTGATGATCTTAGACAGGTCTTCGCGAGCAGCAAGCAGGTGTGCCAACGTAATTGTTGTCTTGGGTGACAAAGCATAGCGCTTGGGCTGGTAAATTCTTGCTATATTATCTGTTTTTACCTAAGTGTCAAAGGTTAGGGTAAAAAAAATGAACAAAAGTATATTTGAATGAAAGATAGTAACAATCCTAATCTTTAGAAAGAAAAGGATAAAATACAAGCAATGAAACAGGAAAGAGAGAAAGCATCCAAATACTTTATGGCTATTTATATATACACTCAAATAAATAGAAACACACACACCAGTGCTAACAAAATGCAGGACACCACAAAGAGTAGTTTCACCAAAAATTTGCAAAAATAAAAACCAAACTTGAAATGGTGAGGACCATCAATGTCTGGATGAGGTCAATGACAACCCTACTAGGAATGGTTTAGGGAGGATGAAAAAAAATGAATCTAGAGTTAATCCAGAAATGAAGTATATAAGAATGACTTAAAGGATTTTTTTGGGGGGGGGACAAGTCCTAGCAGATACTAATATGCAATATGAAATTATTCTTTAAAAGCTAACATATACTGAACACTTATTAAATATTCCAGGATGCTGTTGACTTAGGAGTTATTTCCTCAAAATATCCTTCCAGAATTGCTTGTTTTTATCATCCCCATCTGCTGACAAGGAAAAGGCGAAACTTAGAGAGCTTAGGTCACAAAAACAGATGGATAAATGGATGGATTGAAGAAAGAGTAAAGGAAGGCAGGCAGGATGGCCAATTTAAGTCCCTAAAATACAGCAAGAAAATCCCAGTTCTTCCAACATGCACAGAAAATCGCACCTCAACCCCAGGCTCCATATGCAGAATAATGTACCACCTTACCTCTATATAATTCATTGGAACTTGGGAGAAAAAAGAACAGATTGATGAAGCAAGACAGAAAGTTGATATTTTGTTGATAAACATATGAATGCAATAAATGATCAAAGAAGTGTCACAGATTAACAGGAAAAGAAAAGGATTATTTTTATGGTGTTGGGATGAGCTGATAACTACTTGGAAAAAAAGTTAAAAATTCCAAAGAGAATAAAGAGCAGTATCTTAAATTTTTTAAAACTACCACATTATAAAGACTAAAATTTCTAGGCATATACATTAAAGGGCTTAAAACAGAATCAAAGAAAAACTGAGGAAAATATTAATAAAGTAACTGACTAGCAAACTTTCTTAATATAAATCTCAATTGAAAGAGAAACAGGAAAACTGACAAGACATAAATAAAAAAGAGGAAATTCAAATGACTAATAAGCTTATGATAAAGGTCAACTGTCCCAATAATGAGATTATACCTATTAGTAAGTTAATCTTTATTATCCATCAAGTCAGAAAGAAATTGGTCATATTTCTAGTATTGGCTAAAGTGAGACAAAATTTCATTTATGCTATTTATAGGAGCTTGACATACAAACTTTACTGGAAGATATTTCAGCCAGAAGAATTATTATTAAAAGTGATAACCTTTCACATAGTAAATATCCTTTTAGGATTCCACACCCCAATATATTTTGAAATTTACAGTAAATTATAAAATTTATTAAATTATACATAGAAAAATTCATGATGTTATATATTATAGGGAAAGAAAATTAAAGTTAAGCAAACTGTAGCATCATTATATGGTAGAATATAATACAATCATCAAAACGCTACCGAAAGGAAAGAAATATTTCTGTGTTACAACACAAATGAACCCTGAAAGCATCATGTTAACTGAAAGAGGCCAGAAATAAAGAGGTTCACATCATAGGACTCCATTCATGTGGAATGTCTACAGAGACAGGTATATTTCAGAAATGAGTGCCAGAGAATGGAGGCTGGGGTGGCAGGGATGACTACTAGTAGGTATGTATTTATTCTAGAGCTCTGAAAATACTCTGGACTCAGTAGTGATGATTTTACAACTCTGAATGCTCTAAACACCACTAACGTATATACTTCCTAAAATGAAGCTTTTACATGAAGTAAATCCTTTAAAAAATTAAAAATTAATTGTGGGAGTTTCTTGGCATGTATGTGAAGTGTATATATGGGTTTATATGGGTGTTTGCACTTGTTTTTAAAATATTTTATTATTTTTATTTTCTGTGTATGAGTGCATTGCCTGCATGTGTATAAGCGCACTCATGTCATGCAGTGCCCACAGAGGTCAGAAGAGGGTGTCAGATCCCCTGGAACTGGAGTTCTGGATGGTTGTTAGCTTCCATGTGGGTGCTGGGAATCGAATCCAGGTCCTCCATAAGAGCAGTCAGTGCTCTTAACCGTTGAGTTATCTCTCTCCAGCCCAGGTGTGTGCACTTGATGTACATTCAAACATGTGGGGGCCATAGGTGAACATCAGATGCCTTTCTCTACTGTTCTCCACCTTATTTGGGGGAGAGAGGAGATTGGGAGAATGTGTGTGTGCATGTGTGTGCACATATGTGTGTGTATATGCATACAGGCCAGAGGCTAATAACAATATCTTTCCTGATTGCTCTCTACCTTATCTTTTGAGATAAGGTATACCTGGCACTCAATAATTGGCTATACTGGTTGACCAGACAACTCCCATATCTGCCTGCCTCTAAACCCAGCCACTAGGGTTATAGACCCAAGACCACACCAGCCTTTACATGGGTTCTGAGAATCTGAACTTAGTCCTCATGCTTGCCCAGCGGGTACTTTACTGACAGAGCCATATCCTTAGCCCTCCACCTTATTTATTGAAACAGGGTCTCTCACTGAATCCGGAGCTCAGGGATTGATCAGACTGGGCTGTCAACATGGGATCTACCTTCTCTACCCCAAGGATAATCTATTTAGTGAAAAGGAGAAACTATAAAATTGTACTATCTCAGCCAAGCATGGTGGTACATGCCTTTAATCCCAGCATTCAGGAGGCAGAGGCAGGCAGATCTCTGTGAGTTCAAGGCCAGTCTGATCTACATAGCATGTTCCAGGCCAGCTGGGGCTACACAGAAACACACTGTCTCAAAAAAAAAAAATAAAGACAAAAAAAAAAGTACCATCTCAAATTATAAAACTGTATATCTCATGTATATTTCACACTAGCAAAAATAAAAGAGAAACAAAACTAGCTTAACTTTATTAATAAATGAGTATAATTGTTTTAATAAGTCTTAAATGGGTTCTTTGACAATTTCACAGTACATAATGCATTCTAATTACTCACCTCTTGACCCTTTCCCATCTCCTTCCCACCCCTGCCAATCTCCATTCCTCCCACAAGTACATTTCTCACACTCATCTTTCTGTTTTGTTTTGTGAGCAGCTGGTCATCTGTGCAATCATCAGATCATCAGTTTGAAACTATCCATTGGGACCTGGTAGGCTTATCAGTGGATACACAACTGAAAAGAATGACTGTCCCTCCTCAATCCACCAGTAGCCAATAGCTCAGCAGAGAGAAGTAGGGTCCCATAAGTCTTTTCAGGATCCACAACTAATTGCTGACAGGCCCACTCTTGTGCAGCCCAGTGCAGACCACTGCAGCCACTGTGAAATCAGGACTGCAATGGCTGTGTCAGGCCCAGAGACAGCATTTCACAGCTCTTCTCCCTGACTTTTGTCTCTTACAGTCTTTCTACCTACTCTTCCTAGATGTTCCCTGAGCCTTGGAGGAAGTGGCATGAATGTCTTGATTAGGGCTGAACTGTGACTTCTTCTTAGGACCTTAGCCAGTCCTAGGTCTCTACACTGACCGCAGTTCATTGCAAAGGAAAGCGTCTGTGGTGCCACAGGCCTTTAATCCCAGCATTCGGGAGGCAGAGACAGATGGATCTCTGAGTTTAAGGCAGCTTGGTCTACATAGAGTTCTAGATCAGGTGGGGTTACTGGGAGACCCTGTCTCAAAAAGACCAAAAAAAAAAAGAGAGAGAGAGAGAGAGAAGTCTTAGACTCATAACATATTCTTATCAAGTGTCCTTGCAAGGAAATTATTTGCAGATTTGCTACAGCAGAAAGAGGGAATAACCAATTTTAAAAGGTAGGTCATAAAATCCAGACGACACTAGAGTAGCCAAGGATAGCCATATAAGCAAACTGGCTAGTAATAAGAGGACACAAACTTCTAGTCAAGAAAGTACACAGAAAATGGAAACGTCCCTGTATTATCCCCAAGGAACACAACCCTGTCAATCTCTTCACTGTAGAACTTCTGGACTCCAGAGCCACACAAGAATAAGTTATATTATTAAAGCTTCTAAGTATGCATCCATTTGTTAATAACAGACGTAGGGAACTAACACAACACTACACATGGCCAGGAAGAACAAAACATGTGAAAGCCAAGGAGAGAACAGAAGCACCACAACAGAGCAAGTCCCAGGAGCAGAGACATGTGAGATCTTGGGTTTTTCTAGCCCAGGCCAGATACTAGCTGAACGGAGCTCATGGATTAGTCAGCTTTGTGTTCTTTTCATAAAATCTCTAAGGGTAGATAACAGAGTTCATTTGGCTCATGAGTCTAGTGATTGGAGGTCCAAACAAGATGGTGGCAGGGGCTCCCTGGCTATGTCATAATATGGTAAAGAAGGAGAAAGACAAAAGGCTGTACTGTGGAGGAGTCAAGTACATGATGGCCTCACTTTGTAACAACCCACTCTTAGAAGAACTAATACAAACCTCAAGACCAGCATTAATACATTCATGAGGGTAGATGGATGGCCTATCTTTCACTATACTCCACTGCTTAAAGGTTCCATCATCACAGTGGGAAGCAAGCTTCCAGCATACAAAGTTTGAGGGAAAAACCAGTCACACCAGAGCAGTGTAACACAACACGTGAAGAAGAGCTGCTCAATGATTCTAAATAGTCACAATAATCTAATAACACCTAAACTGTACTTGTGGTCAAAGTAGAGTAACACATACCAGATTTACCCTCTGAAGAGTATCAACTAAAACGTGCTAGACAAATAATGGCAACCAATGATTTTCATATATCAGACATCAAGGGGGTCCAGAACAGTGATCCTTGAAAGAGGGAAAGTCCTATGATTGCCCCTGTTTACTGTCTGGAAAGTTCTCAGGCAAGGTGGGAGGAGCAGGGAGGATCCCAGACTAAGGCTAGGTAGATTAAATACACCAAGCTAGTTGAAGAGATTGTGCCCCATCCCATAACTCACTTTTCAACTAGAAGACATTGCATAATCATTCAACCAGTCTTCAGAAACTTAGGAAACCTGTTGGAGCATCAGTGCTCCCAAAACCTATTCCTGCACTCTGCTTTCTTAGTCAGCTGCTCTCTGTCTCTACCTCACTATCTCACAGAAGTAGTCCTTTATTCTGGCATACATCAAAACACATGCGCTTAAAACAAATGTGAAAGTCTTAGAGAAATTGTTATTAGCAAACATGAATTTATATACATGACTAACATCATTATACTTAAGAGCAGCAGTTAAGTAACATGGGCTCAGGTCGGTGACAAAGAGTAAATGTGGTCTGGTTACATAAGGGCAGAGATCGTCAAGCATGGCCACAGACTACCACCTACAGGGCACGAGTGGGAAAGCAATCTCACCTTGGCTCTATCTGACCATCCAAAGGACTGTACTGTCACATCTAACCGTTTCATTAACATCCGCCGGCGGCATTCATACTCAGAAGAAAGGGCATCATTAATTCTTTCCAGTTTTTCCTAAAGAATTTGAGGATGAAACCATAAATATTAGATTCTTTTGCCCAGACAAGAAGTTTGAAAATTAAAATACTTCCTACTGATTCAATTGATACTGTACTTAATGACCATTTTCTGAGTCCATGACACTTTATACAAAAATATTTAAGTAAGAGAGTAGTTGATATAACATTTATAGTGTCCAGAGGCTATTAAAGGAGTTTATCTTATCTTTGATTAAATGCATTTATTTTAGTGAAACATCAATTTGTGATATACTGCACACTACCCAAAGGGAGTCCCGGGAGCTCATCCTGCTGGCTTCAGACACTTCCCTTTCAAATCACAACTCTGTGAATGTATGGGCACCATGTATATTCCCGGCCACCTAAGTTGGGGTTTTTTGTTTGTTTGTTTGTTTTTAATTAATAATTTGACTGAATAAAGGGTTAGGATAGATTATTCTAGAATACTCATTTTATTGTTCCAAAATAATATATTAGATTTCACACCTTGTAAAAATCTAAGTGCCCATTTCTAACAGTAAACCATCACTCTTGGCTGGGTGTTGCTTGTCCCCTCAAGGTTCCTGTGTTGGAGGTTTGGTATGCAAGGTGGTAGGTCCTGGGAGGTAAGAGGAACATTAGGACAGGTGAGGAAAGGCTCTAAGAAGTGGCTCATAGTGGGAAGTCCTTAGACCAATTGGAGGTGTGCCCTCAAAAAGAATTTGGGAATGTCAACTTTTCTATTTGGTAATGCAGCATCTTCACACACACACACACACACCAGCCGTGCCATCCATCAGGAAGCTAGAAAGCCAAAGGATGGCCCTTGCCAGAGCTAGCACCACGCAGTTTAGATTTTCAGTCTGCAAAACTGTGAGCAAATAAATCTCTTTATAATGTTAGCCTGGCTAACAGTGTATTTTATTACAGTAACAAAAAAATGAACTAATACAGTCATGCACTAATTTGGTTATATAAAACTAATAAAAGAAGCACTTACTGCTTGTTCTGAATTTAAATCCATCTTTAGTAGTGGTTTTCCCACATGATTTTTCTGGACTTTAGAGAGAATATCCTTCACCTAAAAGTAAATATAAAAGATTACATAAATGTATATACATATACACACTCACACACACACACACACACACACACACTCACACACACACACACTAAATTTAAACCATGGTATTCATATTAGATAGGCTGCTTTGAACACTGGATAATAAGTAACATGCACCTTCACACACTAAGAAAGGAGTATCATTGCAATGCAAAAAAAGCACCCATTATAGTAAATCAAACTACGGAACATTTCTTCAAGAATAAAAAAGTGACACCAGGTGTGGTGGCATGCACCTTTAATCCCAGCCCCTGGGAAGCAGAGGCAGGTGGATCTCTGCGAGATCAAGGTCAACCTGGTCTACATAGTGACTTCCAGGCAGGCAGTGACTAGGGAGAGCCTGTCAAAGAACAACAACAAAACAACCAAATGACTCTACTATAAGAGTTCATGGCTTCTGTGAAATAATTTTGGAATTTCTTCTTAAGATGGCACTCTTTTACTTCCTGGTAAGCTTTTAAGAGGGACACTAAAATATTTACTAATGATCTTTACTATGCCAATCATGCTTGTTCTGCTTTCACTGTTCCATAAGACAACAGAGAACAGGAACTCCTGACTGCAGTCCTCACACAATTTTACGACTTTCATAAAGTCACTGGATTAAATGACTTGAAACATTTTAATTTTGTAAACAACATCAGTCATTTATTTTTGCCTTACTAATATCAAAAGTCATTTGAAAAATAGCAATTTATCCTACAGACTATAGAGTAACAGCCTAAGTTGGACTCACTCTAACTAGAGAATTCTTCAGTTTCTTAGTTATACGGTAACCACAGAAAGCCGGAGTAGCCAGGTTTTAAGGGACAGAAAGCTTACTTAATGTTTAAGCGTTCCTTAGGAATTCAAAATTACATTTGCAAGCTGGGACAGTAAAAGGAAATAACTGCAAAGAGGAATGATATTTCTTTTCCATGTGATATGAATGTTCTAAAATTACATTTTAACAATGGCTATGCAATCCAGTAAGTAGATGAAAATTCCTTGTTCTGTACATTTAATATGGGTGTATTTTGTCATGCAAATTGGATCTTACAAGTTATACTTTAAAAATTAGTTTAGGAAGAGCCTGTACAAATGCTCTCCAAAATCTTAAACTTTATGAACTTTGCAGCAAATCTACCTCTACAATAATACAATCACTGATAATAAGATTGATACATCATTTCTAAATTATTTTCTTAAAATATGCTGTTTCTGTAAATTCCCCCTCTATTGTAAATATTGCCAATGTTATCTTATTTATATATTTTACAACTAAGGTTTAATCGTTAGAGCTGACTACCTGCGCTCGAACATTAGGGTTACCACTTTGGAACAGCACCGCAGCTTCTGCCCACAGAGGATGCAGGCAATAATAATACTTATATAGGTGATATGAGAAAACAGGATGAGCTATTAGAAGGAAACATTTAGAAAAATAATGACTTATATTGCTGCTACATTATCTGAACAGCTTTAAGTCAGAAAGTAAAAATTTTCATTCTAAGATAACAAAGTCTTTTGGGAACATCATGTAGGAAAAAAAATGGAAATTTTTACTTCTGATAAGAACTGAATGGCTTAGAAAGCCCTTTTAGGTAAACAGCCCAGTGACATTATAAGGTAAAAGGCACAGGGTATAAGATTATAGGTGCTTTTAACTACCCCACCAGGCTGCTTATTTATTCATTTGCTATCTGATGCACACTAAACACTTCATTAACAAAGTATGCTTGCTCAATGCCAAAGAAACCACACTGCAACATCCCATGAGGAGTCAGGGGAGGTGAGTATGTCTTTCACTTTGTAGAATAACTACTTTTTTCATTATACTATATTATAACTCTCACTAGGGGAACAATCCTTAAATTTGCAAGGATTTTTATCACAGCAAACTCTGGCAAAGCCTACGATGCTCATTTACTAAGATATAGTTCCTGAAAATTAACTACAGACAAGTTAAGTCACAAGCATATTAACCCCAAATCCAAAATTCAGTTTACATAAAACTCTTCTTTTAGGTGGACTTTGTTTTTGCTTTGGCACTGGAGACAATACCCAGGACCTTGCACATAGTAGGCAATGGCTCTGCCACTAATACCCACCCCTAGTAACACAGACTTCTCTTGAAATTGCTGATATATCTTAGACTTAAAGGATTTTTATTTATAACATTTACATGTTAGCATTTAGTTGAATTTTTGAGAAAAAAAAAATATAATACCTTTGATTCCACTTGGTTTAGCATAAGTGGAATGTCAGAAGTGTTTGATTTGGGTATCCCAAGGATATCACACATAGTTTGAACTTCCTGGTAAATCTCACTGTTTTTATCTAATTGAGAATTTTTGCGTTTCTTGTTCTGTAATATCTGTAAAGCTTGAAGCTCTGTACTTAAAAACACTACAATAAAAAAAGATTTAAAAGAACATTAATACATGCATGAAAACTCTTTGAAATACTTTACTGAAATAATTTATTTAAAACAAATATCAACAATTTCAAAGCAATATTAACTTACAAAAAACCAAAGAGCAACAACAGTTATAGAACACCTTAGACGTAAAACACGACAGAAACCAACCTGCCTAAGGCTGCCTGTGTCCTCATGGATGAGCCCACAATCATGCACATATGGGCAGCACAAACTGGCCTCAGCAGGTTATTAATAACAATGTTATTTCATTGTTTTTTACATTACTATGTAGATCTTTAGATTTTTCAAAGATATTTTTAATATTTATCATAAAATTTAATTAGCATAGCCCAATATTTTGAGCTAATATTACTTTCAGAAACATTACATTTAAGAATTAAAAATGACTGTAACTGTAATTGAAAAGGAAACAGTTCAGTATCAGTAATAAGGTCCCTGGGCCAGAAGAGAATAATCAAGTCAAAATAAAGGCTTGTAAGTCATTTATCTTTGATTAAGTCTGTTACATAGAAATCCAAAATAAGTCAGAGGTCAAACATTAGAAGAATCATCCTTTTTTTCTGCTGCTGAGTACTGAAACTGGAGCCTTGCGCATACTACATAAGCACTCTCTTACTGGCCTCTATCTCCAGTTCTGAATCATTTATTAAATTAGTCCATATGGAAGAGGTCATATTTCTTAGATTTTTTTTTTCTTGAATATTTTCTTAGAAAGTTCATTATTAGTAGACAGAATGGCTTTGAAGCAGATGAGACTATTACAGAGAGCTACAGCTAGTCAAAATACACAGAATAAGTGACTGAAGGGTGCCTAGCCCTAAGCGATAGATCTGCAATGCAACTTCTACACCTAAAGCTCAGGGAACACCACAGAAGAGGAGGCAGAAAGATTCTAAGGACCAGAGAAACAGGACACTTGCAGCTAGATGATACATCTGAGACATGATCGCGAAGCTGCATCCATGAACTCTTCACAATATGGTAGCTTAACAAGACCTGCATAATGACACAGCAGTTGACATGCCAATGTGGATGGGGAAAGTTTCACAGGGTCTTACTTCTAGATGAAGAGCTACAGGCAGTCAACTGATGCTGAGGGAGGGAGAATCAGTTTTCTCCAGGGACGAGCTCCCAGATTAGTTATCTAATTCCAAGTGGCCAGTCCTAAACACAGGTATACAGCACCACTAAATGGACACAGTGCATTATATACAGATGTATATTTATAAATGTATGTACGTATAAGCCGGGTGTGGTGGCGCACGCCTTTGATCCCAGCACTTGGGAGGCAGAGGCAGGCGGATCTCTGCAAGTTCAAGGCCAGCCTGGTCTACATAGTGAGTTCCAGGACAGCTGGGGCTATAGGGAGACCCTGTCTCAAAAAGACCCCCCCCAAAAAATGTATGTATGTATATATAATAATAATAAATCAAAGAAGAGGACAAGAAATTGAGAGGGAATCGGTGGGAAATGGGAGGAGTTGGAAGGGGAGAAAGAGAGATGGAAATGATGCAGATACAATGCTAATATATGAAATTCACAAAAAAAAATCATTAAAAAAAATCAAAGCCATTCTATCAACTAAGAATGAACTTGCTAAGAAAAATGCTAAGAGAGATAGAATATCAATTTGGGGAGAGATGGAGGGACTTACTGCTAGATGGATAGGCTCAAAATACAGTGTGCAAATGTATAAAATTTTCAAACAATAAAAAATATCTTTAAAAACTACCTGACAACTACACACAGACACCATATTAAATCTGTACTGTGCATGGTTGTATTCACTGGGGAAACCTGAGCAGCTACCACTGGCGTTAAGCAGAAAGGATCCAGGCCCTGCAGCAGGACAGCCTCACCTCCACCTACTTCATCTGGACAACTGAGCCAAGATTTAGTTTGAAACAAAAGAATGCATACAAAGAAAAGGGCACTAGAAAGTAAATAAAATAAATTTATTTAATAATTTAGGCAAAATAGGAGTGAATGATTTATTTCAGCCAAAACTTCACACTAGTTGGTTCCAGATCCATTTTAGTCAATTTAGCCAATGATCTAGATTTCTATTTCAGTAAGTGCACATTAGCCAAGAGCCCATTCCGAGTCAGGAACCACACGGATAGGGAGATGCAAAGCCAAGTAAGAGAGCAAGTCTACTCACAAAGAGCTTAAAGTCCAACAGACGAGACCCAACAAATGAACAATTTAAGAATGCCTAAGACTCTGGTAACATCCTCTCCCACATGGACAGTAACTGGGCAAAGGAGATCGTACAGCTCTAACTGACCCACAGCAGATACACAATTGAGTAAGGATAGCCCACCACAGGATGTTCATATTCCCTTTATTCTTATCAATTTCATTTAATCCTTTCAATGGTCATATTTAGGAAAATTACTCAAAAATCCTGTGTGTGGTGCATGTGTGTATACATGTGTATATATATGTATTCTCATGTGTATGCTTGCATGTGGAGACCAGAGAATTACACCAGGTGTCTTCCTCAGTCACTCTCCATCTTTGAGATATTTTGAGATTTTTTTGCTTCTTTTATACAAACATTTGCATTGTTTCCCATCATGTATCTCAGAGATCATGCTATATTCGCACATTCCATTACTCTCACTTGTCCTAAGGGCTGTACAGCAACACCACTGCACTAATGTATGATTCCTGATTAGCTGCTTACAGACACTCAGGTTTCTGGTCTTTTTGCTAATATTAACAACATTATAATGAACATCATTTGCATGTATCTTTGTGCACTTATGCAAATAGACATGAATCTGATATGTAGGACTGCCAGGTCAAAAGACAGATAAACTTTATAATTTTGAGGCCACATTTCCTACAAACTTGTATTATGAATTTTGTGGGGACTTGAAGACTCTTTAGTGGTGTGGTAAGTGAAAACTTGTAACCTATTATTTTATTTTTGTGTCTTTAATTATGAATAATACTGTACATCTTTTCAAGTTTGTAAGTAATTTAAAAAATTCTTCCTATGGAATACATGTTCATGTCTTATTTACTTTACATATTTTCCTAATAACTATCTTTCTCTTGATTCATAAAAATCTTCATGGCCTAAAAAATTTGATCCTTTTTATTTTATACATGCTACAAACACTTCTAGGAAGAACAAGAAGCTCATTATATGACTAAATATGATTAAAATAGCTAACACAATTTTGTTTAAAATATTTAAACTAAAAATAAATAAGGTATAGATACTTGCTAGACTGTGAGCTCATATAACTTTTCTGCAACAAAGGATGCCAATATATATCAAGACCAGAAATTTATTTAAAGGTTCATATTTGTCTAAATGAAATTAGTCAAAAATATAAACAAATTATTTTTTTAAAAGAATACAAGAACCTCCAAACTTTTAATCTACTAAATAAAAATATTATGTCAACAAAAGGTAATGTAGCTATTTGACATCATTTAAAAAGAGACAGCCCTCTAGCCATGGGTAATAAAAGAAATTTTAAGCTTCTAAGCACTCAGATAGACAGACATCGGACACCTACAGGACTCTATTGGACAACTGAAGAGACAGGCTGACTCTGTAGCTAAAACGGTGCTACAGAACAGAAGGGGGCTGGACCCGCTGTTCCTAAAGGAAGGAGGCTTACTCATGGCCTTAAGTGAGGCTTGCTGTTTTTAGGCCAATAATTCAGGTGTAGTTGGGTTTTGCTGGGCCTCTGGTTAATACTCCTCCTAGCCTTCACAGTGGGCCCATGCCACCTAAATTGTCTAACTGGATAGACCATGAGGCGTCTAAATGCCATCAAAATTATGGTTCTGAAGACCCAATATGAGCCACTAAATCAGAACAAGACAACGATTTGACTTATGTCCCAGAGCCAGTGGGGAATGTAATAGCCCAAGCTCCTCTATTTTGTGTAAGTTTAACTAGTCAAGAGTATAAAATCTCTAGTATGTTGAAAGACTGACCTTTCCCGTTTCACTGGTCAATCATCTGGTCATAAGAAGGTGGTTCACATTATGTTATGCTAAATAGATGGGCGGGATACCTAGTGCATTAATGAGATAGGAAATTTTTCCTGCCTGGAATCCCAGCAACTAGCCCAGAACTTCTGGACCAGCCACAGTCATGTAGTCTGTAAGTCTGCCTGCTTTTCTTCTTCAGATCCCTTTTCTAAACATGCTTTCTTTAAGGCTTTGGGCTGCCCCTAGCATCTTGCATTTCTTTACCTTTTCTAAAGCTTCCTTCTCCAAGCCATGTGGCTGCCAGTCAGCCACGTGTCTGATCTCCATGCAGGCTGTAAACCTGCATGGCTTCATGGCTTTCTTCCCTTGTCCCCTCCACTCTCCTCAAGGCACCTGCCAAGATCACCAGCTCGTCTGCCCTGAGGATTTTTCTTTAAAATTCTAATAAAATTGTAAAATATTTAAAAAAGAAGAAGAGACAGGGAAATGAAGAGGAGGATAATACATTAACACAGTCACATTCAAGCTCAAGTCTGCATGTTCTCACACAGGAAAAACAAAAAAGAAAATACATCAAATGATTGTTCAAATTTCTCTCTGGGACTAAGGGCATAAATGATTTGTTTTCTTTCTTCTGTTTTTTGAAAGGCTCTTACTCTATAGCCCAGGCTAGTCTGGAACTCACTATGTAGCCAGGCTGGCCTCAACCTTGAAGCAATCCTTCTCATTAATAACTGTGGATTATTAAATCAGGGACTCACAGCAAATGCGAATTGGATAGAAACAGTGAGCTAGGAGTGTTAGAGCTGGGAATCATATAACTGATCCCTACCCAACACACACAAGCTAATTTAAATGCCAACACTTATATCACCACTAACTAAAACACAGGCACAATTTCTTCTCTAACAAAAATACTAATACTAGAGTCTGTGTATGAGGATAGTGCCACGTGTGTCTTCTTATAAATGATACAATCTAAAATAATAAAATCTTCAAAAATACATGTTAAAATTATTTTAGTCATCATTTTTATGAATTCTAAAAATAGCACAAAGTTCAACAAAAGTAAAACACTTTAAGGGGACCCACTACAAACAAATGGATCTATGTACTACTATCTGTTGTAGTTGTTGAACACAGGTTAACACATATCCAAATGCCCCCTGATAAGATAGGCCATGCTCAAGAACCCTGATGGCACAAATTTTATTTTATTTTATTTTTATATTATTTTAAATGGTGTATTCCTTGTGCCTAGGACAGTTCCTGGTAGAAGGGGATGTAATCAATAAATGTTTCTGGACAGTTCCTGGTAGAAGGGGATGTAATCAATAAATGTTTCTGAACAAGCTATCATTCAGTGCCTATCACTACACAGAAGATCTGCCAGGCACAGCAGCCTAATTTCCTAAAGACATCTAAAATTAAGTAAGGCTCCGGAGAACACCAATTAGCCTTCTCATTGTAAATGATCAGAGATGAATCAGGAAAAAAAAAATCTAAAATACTGTAGAAAGCAGAAGTGCAGGGCATTCTGCATTGACCAGGTTATCACAAGTGTTAATGGGTATGCTAACAGAATTTAAACTATGCATTTCTAAGACAGCTTGCTACATTAGTCAAATACAAAAACCTTTTCAATATATAAAATGTCTAATTTTTCACATTTTGAAACTCTAAGCTCTGACTTGAAAATAAAAACTCCACCAAATACATGCATTTAAATGTCCAAGGAAAGATAACTTACACAGAAGTCTCAAGCAGTCATCTTTCTTTTGTAAGCGGTCTTTAATATCTCCTGATATGAGTACAGAATACGGACAGGCCATTTCTTTTAAAAAACCACTTATCTCAAGTTGGAAGCTCTCTAGGTCATCCCTTCCTTGAAAAAGAAAAGTCAGAAAACATTTATTGAGTACTTACCACACCCACCACTGTAAAATTTATTACGAGTTGATTTCAATTTTACATTCAGTTCTAAATTTTCACTTTCAAATTTAATCTGTAAATATGTAACTGCAAAGCTTACGTAAAAGCAAACAAATAGTTTCTACAAATAGAAAGTAACATTTAAGTTTAATAACATAAATACCGATTTAAGGACACAAGTAGTCAGGGGATTATAAATACTTTACATTTAAATCTCTGATAAGTTTCTCCAAATGAATTCTCTATGAAATCAGATAAACTGAAAAAATTTTATATAAGGAACCAAAATATTAAAAAGCATTATTAGCCGGGCATGGTGGCGCACGCCTGTAGTCCCATCACTTGGGAAGCAGAGGGAGGTGGATCTCTGTGAGTTCAAGGCCAGCCTGGTCTACATAGTGAGTTCCAGGACAGCTGGGGCTACAGGGAGACCCTGCTTCAAAAAGACCAAAAAAAAAAAAGTATTATTAGAAATATAATTAATAACTAGCTCCAGGCAACTAATCCGATTCTACTGTTTGTACTGTTACTGGACTTCTTATCAGTAATTTTTCTTTATACAGTGGTCACATTGTTTATAATACTACAAATTATGCCCTGTCAATTCTCCTTACTGTTAAATAGAAAGGAAAATAAAAAACGGCAGCAATACCTGCTGAAGTAATACTTTCTTCCAGGTTGCATAAGGACTTTATTTGAGAACCTAACCAAATACAGAGCTCTGAAAATTCCGGTGAAGACAGTCCACCCTCTGCTGCCTTGGAAAGCGCCTGTTCTTCTAACAATGGTCCCTTATACCTAGAAAGGAAGAAATAAAAGTTCTTTGAAAAGAAGAAAAGCCTCTAATCCTCTGTGTTAAGGCCTGATGCCTGTTTCTGTTCATCACCTTATCAGAATATAGTCATTAACTTACTGATTTGTGATTGCCTGTGGCTGCATTCAGGGCAGAGTTAAGTAGCTGTAATGTTAACTAGGCTTATACAAAAATGGTTTTATGGTTCTTAACTCTTAACTAGTATTTGGCTTTTCACATTTTTTTCTAGCAACTGTAAATATTATAAATGACACCAAGCCAAACAGTCTTAACAGCTTTGTATTAGTTCCAAGAAGTAGAGTGAAAAAGTATAAATGCAAATTTCAGATTTATGAAACAAAGCTAAAATGACTTAAGAAATCTTAACCTACATCATTTATTTCATAGTTCTATAATTTTAAATATTTCTACAAGTGGAATTTGACAAGACCTTAAAATTTCAAAATACCTTATGCATTACCTCAGTTGGATTAATACTAATTTTCTACATTTTCTGGTTCTTTCTGCAATTAAGCTTCTCTTAGACATCAAACACTCACAGATGTTAGTGCACGTGATGTGTCACAGTCCACTCAATCTGCTATTTAAACTGCCCTATCTCTGGTTAGCGAGGGTTCATTCATGTGGCCGAGGAGAGTTAGGACTCCTTCCCAGAATTCTTTAAACACTTCCCTTGCTCTCCACGACAAGATGTTCCTGACCTAGACCTTTCTCCAGAGGCTCTGCTGAGCCACACCCCAACCTCTCAATTCAATTTGAATTTAAACTGTAGGATTTTCACTTGCTTTAATTAAAATTCTAGTAACATGCATAGTCCTAGTATATATAAAAATAGATACAAATTACACAGTATAGGAAAGTCAGCATTGTTGCTAACAATAAAATGAATAAAAACAGTCATGGTGATGCATGTCTTTAATCCCAGCACTCAGGAAGCAGAAGCAGGTAGATCTCTGTGAGATTAAGGCTAGCATGGTCTACCTATAAAGTTCCAGGCCAGCTGCTAGGGCTATAGACAGTCCCTGTCTCAAAATAAAAAATTCATGAAGAGAGCTTAATTTTGGGATCAATTGAACGTGTCCCTATCAGTCAAATTCCTCAACTGTAGTGAACTTCTATGAATCAAATTTAGAAGAAATTTTTTTTTAGTGGTTTTATTTTTGAAAAAAAACTTTATTTCACCTCTTCCAATGGAGTAGACTTATTTCCAGATACACAACTGAAGCTATGCTCCAGGGAAAGAAATGAGGACTGTGGAATCACAGAAACTACCCATCAACCACGAGTGGTCACTGGGAAATTGTGGGGGGCTGTCCTGTTTCAGCTTCCCTATGATTCGTGGGCTTCTCAAAGTCACACACCGCATTTACTGACATTCAGCCTCAGGTCACCATGATAATCCCACCCTTTATTTCATGTCACCTGTCACTCCACATATCCCAAGCATCAACTCTGTTGAAGAAATGTAAAGCAAGGTGTAAGCCTATGAGAGGAGTTCACCATGGAATGTTGGACTCAGATTTGGTTTCATTCATGTGGCATAATCATTTGGAAATAATTTTTTCAATTCCCTTTACTACATATGAGAACATTTCCTATTAACTAATCAGTGTTTTGACTTATAGTTTTACTATGTTTTAGCAAAAATACCTTGAATTGAATACTGAGAAGTAAACTGTTTGAGTGATCCAATTTGGATCAATGACCTAATTGTTTTAATATTTAGGATGTAGTCCGGTAAGAAGGTAGGGAAAACAATTTGTTCCCAGGTAATCCACCTAGTCAGCAAACTGACACACTGTTTCATTCTGCTTTTTGAATTTTTAGGGATTTGTTACCATTTTGTTTTCAATTTAATTTTACCTCAGCATTACGCAAAAAATCTAGTTCCAAAGTCTAACTTTCAAAATGAGATACATTCACACAAATCTAGTTACAACATTTTTTTTTGTCTGTTTTGAAGCAGGGCCTTGACACGCAGTCACAGTCCTCCTGCCTCTGCCTCCTGAGCACTAGAACTACAGGCATGTACTCCCACATCCCTGGTCTTCCTTCTTGATCATCTCTTTTGCTCTCACCCCCCACCCTGTAGCTAACCATTTTTATTAGTTTGGGGCTATCTTTCCATAATTAGTTTTAACATAAATACATTTTTTTCCTCCAGATAAAAGGCAGCTACTCTACATTCTTCTAGGCCTTGCTTAAACACACACAGGCATACTTACAGTCACAGTGGCAAGTATTAGAGCAGGGCTCCTTCGGCCTTTTCTATTTCTCACCTCTTTTTGCCATAGAAATTTGTAGGCAACTTCAGGTATACAGGTATGTAAAATAGGCACATAAGTCAAACATTTATTGATAATAAGTCATATAATAAACATATGACCTTATCATTGATCAAATGCTAAAACAAATTTGCATATTAATGAAATTGATGTATTTGCTTTTGTTTGCTTTTATTTATTCAACTTTGATTTTTGAGACAGGCTCTCCCTGTAAGCACCAGCTGGCCTGGAACTTAATATGTAGATGGGCTGGCCTCAATCTCACAGAGATCTGCCTGCCTCTACCTCCTGAGTGCTGGGATTAAAGGTGTGGGCCATCAGGCTTGGTTTTATTTGTTTTTACATAAAAAAATTAAATCTTGGCTATTAGCTACTTCAGTGTTTCTCACAAATTCATTAATATTTTGAGAATAGCTGAGAGTGATGGTTACACAAACACAGTACAAAAAGGCAGAAGCATATTTAGGGCCACTTTAGAAATTGTTGAAAATTCTATCCTAATTCCAAGCCAAAATTCATTTAATGATTTTTTTTTAATGAACCTGAAGCCAGCAATTCAAACAGCAATTTTTAAAATCAGACATTCTAACCCAGTACAATCACAATCCAAAGATCCTCCAATTTGATGCTGACAAGGTGAGGAATGACAATAGGAAAACAGTCTCTTTTTTCTGTAATTAAGCAGAAAACTTGTATATATGGGAAAAACAGAGTTCAGGACACTCGGCAGTCTCTACTCTGAGGAGGGATCTCAGGCAGCATCAGCTGGTGTCACATCATACGACAGCAGGCACAGTGCAAGCACGCTCTGCATGCGGAACCAAGGCTGCCATGACGTCACAGGAGGCAACACAGGCAAGCACTGCCAGAAACACCTCAGATTCATTGTACATGATTTTCAACTAACTTTTGGTCACTGCCCATTCAGAAATCTTTCACCACTACCGAATTCTTTGCAACCTGCACATTGTTATATGGGTAGTAACTCACAGCTTAAGAAGCTGGGTGATAAGATCAGCATTCACAGATATGGTTTCATTTTTAAAATACTTTATTATTTTTATGTGTATGAGTGTATTGCCTGCATATATGTAAGTGCACCCATGTTGTGCAATGCCCACAGAGGTCAGAAGACGGCATCAGATCCCCTGGAACTGGAGTTATGGAGCGTTGTTAGCTGCCATGGGATTCGAACCCAGGTCCTCTGTAACAGCAGTCACTGCTCTTAACCCCTGAGCCATCTCTCCAGCCACGAGTCTATCATTTTTAAAGTTGCATAGTACTGTCTAGATGTGCCATACTTTCAGACAGCTTCCAATGGAGGATATCTGGGTTATTTGTAGTGGTTTTTGTTTTATGTTTTTTATTTTAAATTACAGTTTAGCAAAATTTTGGTACCTGTGAATTGATTCCTAGAGGTAAGATTATTGGATCAACAGGTAAACTGGTATATAACTTTGCTAGATATTATTAAACTGATCCACAGCTTCAGTTCATTAATGTGTTAGCGATCTTCCTCAAACAGACATCATCTGGGGCCTAATTTTCTTTTGATATATCAGCCAGCATATGCAATAGGAGCCCTTTCCTTCCCCACCGTTTACTTATCATATTGGCCCTGCTGCTGATCAGCTGTCGACCTCTGCTTTTCATACTCACCCACTACGTTCAATCCATAAACAACTCTCCTACAGTCTCCAACTCCTCAGACTATTCTCCCACCTCTAGCTTTCACTCCTCTCACTCCTGAACTCCTCAGTCACATGGCAGGGTTTCTGTCCTCCTTGCTGTCCAGTGCAGCATCCATAGTGGTTTGAATGACAAATAGCCCCCACAGACTCAAGTATTTGAACACTTGGGCCTCAGTTGGTGGCACTGTTTGTGGCCTTGTTTGAGGAAGTATGTCACTGGGGGTGGGCTCTGAGAGTCCACAGTCTTGCCCTACTTGCAGTCAGCTCTCTCTACTTTGTGCTTGAGGTTAAAGTTATGAGTTCTCAGCTTCCTGCTCCTGCCGCCATGCCTCCCTGCCATGATGGACTCTTAGCCTTAAGTCATTCTTCTATAAGTCAGTTCGTTTTGATCATGGTATTCTATCAGAGCAATAGAAAAGTAACTAATACAGCATCCAAATACTTATAAATTCCCCCATGCCCTCTAACAGCTCCAGCCAGGCAAACTTGCTGCCCTGCTTCTCCTGTGGTTCTCAACATGAATCTCTTGGACAGTCAACATTCCTTTTGGTCAGTTTTCTTCCCCACCCTTACCTACTCTTAGCCATTGTACTGGGTTTCTTCAGAGTCCATATGCAAGATTTATCTAACACCTGAGCTTTCAATTCCCTAACTTCCTTCTTACCAACCTCTCTCAGTTCATGCCAGTCACTCAGTCCCTGGATCTTGCCAACACCAGAACTATTCCACTTCCCAAAGAGTGAATTCAAAGGCGTCTCTTTCAGATCACAATCTATCACTCCAGCTTGCTCTTCTGATCACTCACCTACAACTATTCTTTGATTTCATTGCTACCTCTATGCCACTGGCTCCTCTGCATTCTCTGTACTTTCTACCTCCCTCCTGTCTTCACTTTCTTCCCTATCCAATTTAGATTCCATAGTGTTTCATTTCACTTTGTGTTTAATACTGATTTAACAAACGAATCCTTGAGTATCAAAACCCACCCCATCACTAGTTCTGTAATGCACACCTTTCCTCTGTCACTACAAGGCACCCACTACCACTAAGCAGCCCTCATGCCTTTCCTAAACTATTAAACTAAATTCCTCAATTCATTAGCTGAGAAATGGAACTTTCAAATTAGACATCTAATAGTCTATCTTGTCCTATTACTAGATAAAGAAAGTATGGGGACTGGAGAGATGGCTCAGTGGTTAAGAACACTGGCCATTCTTGCAGAAGACCCAGGTTCAAGTCCCAGCACTCACATGGTGGCTAAGAACCATCAGTAACTCCAGTTCCAGGAGATCCAATGCCCTCTTCTGCCCTATGCAGGAACTGCATGACACAGGCGCATTTACATACGTGCAGGCATAACACTCATACACAACACAGCCTTAAAGGTGCTACAGTCTCTGCTAATCACCTAACTCTCCAATCCAGTGTCCTACCACTGTGGCCTTAGAGCCACTGTGCCTTCCAGCCACATTACCTTACTTTCTATTCCTCCACTGCTGCATGTTCCTTCTTAATCCAAGGTGTCCACACTTTATTCTTATCAAGGCACACTGTCTTCCTTTTCTGTCTAATCTTGCTTAGTCGACTTCTGTCTTCCTACTTCAACTCAAATATCATTTCTTTAGGAATCTATCACTAACCCATAAGTCCTGTCGTTATTATCCCACTTTTTTCTTTGAAGCACTTACTACAGTTTATAACTGAACAACCATGTCCACTTCTGCAGTCAACTGTAAGTTCCACAGAGTCCAAGAATCAGGTCTACTTCACTCACCACTGACTCCTCAGAACAGTGTCCAATAAACAGCCATCCTCCATAAATATTTGAAATAAACAGTGGTTCTCAGCCTGGGCTATGAAGCTTTAGACAATCTGCAAGATTCTACTATACCTCTGAAGATTACAATTCAGTGAATCCATAGTATAAACCAGACCAGAACATTTTTCATCAGCTCCATACATGGTTGCAATGAACAACCAGACCAGCTAGTTGAGATGGACTGATCCACAAAATCATAGATTACTAGAACTAAAGAAACATGAAATCATCTCCCCAAGAATATGCATTTCACAGAGGAGAAAACAGTGATTCCTAATCTGACTTCTTCTGTAACACAATGCATCACACTATATTTTACCTGGTTTTCCTTTTTAAGTCATCCCATTAATGTCTGACTTTATATGATAAACTAAAGCACCTTCACTGATACACTGTTTTTATCTCATGAGAATGCATTACTCACAGTCTTTGTGGACGCCTGAAAAGGCACTGATCAGTTACAACACACAGAATCCATAACTTCTATTCATAGTTCTGTATCACAGGAGAATTCAAAGTTTAATATCTTGTCCTCAGTCATCCCAGAAAATACCAATTCTGAAGTGTGCAAACTGTTTAATTTTCCATACTGAATAACATGAAACAAATTTTCCTCAGAAAATGTCAACATTATAGCAAATTTCACTTCTTAAATTCTACAATGGGAAAAATAAGTTTAAAGGGCCAAAGAAGGAAAAAAGGCATTGTCTTTCTGTTTCATAAACAGCTTATAGGATCTTAAAAATTTTTAATGTTAATACTTGGGAGTCCAAACTAGGGCCTAAAACACTTCAAAGTATTTTAACTTCTTGTATGGGTTACTTCCTCCACCAAGGTAAGTGAGAATTTCCAAGGAATTTCACAGAAGTACAAATGTCCCTGAAATGATCACTGGCTGTTCTTTTACTCCACATTTCTTTCAGGAGTTAGTAAGTGCAAAATTCTGTTACCTTGGATATGTAAGTAAAGTACTGTAAAATATGTATTATCGGAGCGTAAGAAAGTACAGTTCCTAGAAGAGCAAATGGTTTGGGGAACAAAAGTTAAGGGGGCTGGACACGAAGGTTTCAAGCTTCAGAAGCTCATTACTAGTTACACTTACCCTAAAAAGAAAATTCCCTTTAACAAGGCAAACAACTTTCCAGATGGCGCCAAGGTTTTTAGGTAACAGGTTTATTTTCTTTTCTTAGCTCTCAGAGGTCTGACTCTATACCTACTTTGTACTTTTTCTTCATTTACACATCTAATCAAGCACTCTTTTTGACAGATCGCATTCTAGGATGTTGTGAGGAATCCATCAATGAGCAAAACAAGAGAGGCACCTGTTTTCTAAGAGCTGGCTTAAGTTCTGGGGACAGATAAGTGGGCAAAACAACCTAACTTTGGAAAGGGCAAGGGCTGTGAAGAAAAACAGGATGGCAGGGCGGAGGGTGTACAGCGTGCAGGGATCTGCACACCTCCACCACCCGAGGGGTCCTCTCGGCACTTAGCACCCTGAATCGTCCACTGCAACAGACAATAGATCCTTTATAGCTCCCACGATGATGGAAGCTACAATTAATCTGAAACTGTCTATTCTCCCTGCCAAACCCACAAACACGCATTAACGTACGGACAAGACTGGATATACGGACTCCAAACACTTTCTACTTCTAAAGGAGCGGGACTGAGTGCTAGGCCCCATGGGAGTCAGCGGAGTACCGACCAGCGTAGGAGACCCAGGTCCACAGCCGAGCGGCTCCCTGTACCTCGCCACGGGAGCGAGAACCATGTCAACACAAAAGGCCCGCGCGGCCCAGGGAGGGCCCGGCACCACTTCCCGCACTAGCCGGCCACCCGGAGTCTGAAAGCAGTGGCCCGGGTCCCCAAGTTCCCGGCCTGCGGTTCGTCGCGGCCTGCACCCGGCCTTCCCGGAGGAACGCGCGGCTGCCTGCTGGGCCCCACAAGGGTCCGCGGACGCTCCCGGGGAGGGCTGAAGAGTACTCACCCCAGAGCTTCCAGGGTGTCCAGCACGTCCCCCTCCATGGTAGATTCAGGACCCGGCTCCGGCCCTCTCATGGTCCTCGGGCCCAAAGCTGATCGTCACTCTAAAAAGCCCGCCGGAAACTAGCGTCATCGCGCCAAGGTTCCGGGGCGGGATCCAAGGTGACTGCATAGCGGTGCCTCTGGCCAGGGCCTGGAAACAGTCCACTCTTTATAACAAACTAAAATTGCGTTTGCGACAGTAGGGATTTTTTTTTTTTTTTAAGAATAGTAAAACATAAGCCAGTATCTTTGTGTTAGGTCTTACCAAGGGTTGAAATAATCTTTAATAACACTACTTGAACAGTAAAAGATTTGTTTCTCTGTCTCTGTCTGTCTGTCTGTCTCTCTCTCTCTCTCTCTCTCTCTCTCTCTCTCTCTCTCTCTCTCCTCTCTCTCTCTTCTTTATTTTTATTCATGTGTGCTTGTGGCTTTATGTGTGTGCAGATGCTCACGGAGGTCAGAACAGGGCTCAGATCTTCTGGTGCTGGGGTTACAGACCTTTGTGAGCCTGTGGACTTGGGTGCTGAGAACCAAACTCGGGTCTTCTGGAAGAGCAGCTGCACTCTTAAACAGTTGAGTGCTCTCTAAGCCCCCGGACCTCTCTTTTTATAACAAAAATTCTGAAAGTAATTATAATTATTTTGAGCTAAAATTAGCAAACAGTAATAGTAGGGGCATATAAATAAAACTATTGAGCCAGTATATGCAGCTGTGCTCCAACTTTAATATGAAGAAAAATTAAAGGTAATCTATTATTACCTTTGTATTATTTCATTATGAATATAGAACCAATAAGATATCTATCTGTAGAATCACCTCAAATCCATCTTCAGACTTTGTGTTGTATTGCTGATGACATATGTATAAGTAACAAAAAATGCTATGAACACAGTAAAGCAGTTATGATTTTTCTAAAATTTCTAACTGCCCCTAAAGTTCCAAACAAAACACACTACTTCATCTGTTCAGTATTCATTGGCAATTCACAGGGTTCACATGAAAAGGAAAATCAAATATCAGACCATTATTAGCAGCTGTATCCCCTACATACGTCTCACCAGGACTGATAAAAGTCATATAAGACATATTAAGTATTGATCCTCATAAAGAACTGTCCTCTGCATTTCAAGATACCTAGCATCTTTAGTTCCCATCAAATAAAAGCCAGTAATGTCCTTATATCCTCAAACACTGTTACAGAGGAAAAGCTTACTCATGAATTTGTTAAACACTGCATGGGAAGACTGCTCAAAACTTTGTATGACAACAACTCATTATGTACTGTATCTTAGTGTTCTATAAGGCTTAAGTGTAAATGGATTTGCAATTTAATGAATCCAAATTCAACCCCAAACAGGAGAGACCAGTCAGTGATCACTGGTGGCCTCCTTCAAAGACTTGGAGAATTTTTGTAATCTTGGCAAGAATTGTCTATAAGACTCTAATAGCAGTGAGATAGCTGATCTTCATTAATGTTGCTCTTACATGTTCCACAATTACTGTTTACATTTAGCATATATAAATAACAAAGCTGAAGCATAGAAAAAAAGAAAGAATAAAGAAGAAAATACTGCAGAAATTCGGAAAGAGCAAGTGGAGTTCAAAAGAGAGACCACTGAGAAAAATGAAGCAGTCTAACAAGATAATCCCTGACTCAAGAGCTCTGTTAAGCCCAAACAAAATTAATATGAAGAAAATGAGAATGTAGAAAATAGTAAAAATTATAAAGACAAAAAAGCTTAAAAGCTTGAGAAAAAATTCAAATTTCAACAATAGTATCATGTATATATTACTTATAAAACTTGCCCTTATAACAGATCCTAAAGTCCCTTAACATTCAAAAACTGAAATTATGAACAACATCAACTCTGACTAAACTAGCAATCGACAACAAAAGAAGAAAACCTTCAAAGCTTCCAGATATCCAATGTCAGGAATTTAAGAACTACACTTCTAAATAGACACCAAATCAGAAATTATAATGAAGATCAGAGGATGTCTTAAGCTGAATGGTAATGAATATATATACCCTGTACCTCAACCTCCAGGATGCTGACCCTCACCAGCTGGTGTCATACATAATTTTTCAATATGACATTTCACCATCCAGTGCAGACAGCTGTTTCTGGCATGGCACATAATGAGCAGTACCCACAACCAACTATGTACAGTGTGCAGGTTCCAGTAGAAAAATGGAAAAGTTCAGAAATCATTACTAATTTCAAAGCAGCAATAGCAGAACATTAAGCTGAGCATAGAGCTGTGCTAAGCACAAAACTGAGCCTAACTTCTCAGTCCCTATAAGCTGTGAAGCTAGCCCCCCTTGTGCCACCCACTGTGGTTGGAATATCCCCACCCCAACATGTCTCATTAAAATTTAATTGCTATTGTAACAGTATTAAGATCTGGGGCATTTAAAAAGTAAGTCATAAGGGTTCTGCTTAATTTGGTGGATTTTAAGTGGGGCTTTGGGGTGGCTGAAGAGATGGTTCAGTGGTTAAGAGCACTATCTGCTCTTTCAAAGGTCCTGGGCTCAGTTCCCAGCACCCACATGGCTGCTAACAACCTCCATAACTCTAGTTCTAGGGAATCTGATGCCCTCTTCTGGCCTCCATAGGCATTGCACAATTTGGGTGCACTTAACATACATGCAGGCAAAACATTCTCACATAAAATAAAAATAATAAATAAATATTTTAATGGGGCTCTTGGAAATCAGTTCCTTCTTTGTTCTTGCACTCTTCTGCCATGTGTGGAGTAACGTGCTTCTGCTTCAGAAGGTGTTAGCATTCAAAATGCCATCTAGGAAGCAGAGACAGGCTCATCAACAGATACTAAATCCATCAGTGCCTTGATCTTGGAATTCCCCCAGCCTTCAGAACTGTAAGAAATAAATCTTCATTCTTTATAAATTATTCAGACTCAGGTATTCTGTTATAGACCCACAAAGGATTGGCTACAACTCCATGAAAAGACCAAGAGTAGTTTATGAATGCCAACACTGTTATTGGAGGCTCTAAAATAAGAAGCTATACTCTGGCATCATCTTGGAGAGCCTGCCAATACAAGTCTCAGTGCAAACTGATAAGCACCTAAAACAATCTGACTGTTCATACAGTATGCTTAACTAAGGAATCTGTAATCCACCTTACTAGTTGCTGAGAATGGATGAGTACGCCAGAAGAGCTTTTTAAAAAACTTAGTGTAAAAAGTTATTGATTTCACTGTAGCATTTTCATATACACTTTGTGGTTTTTGACCCTCCTCCTCTCTCCCTTGCCCCCTCCTGCTGGCCTCCTTCTTCATCTAGGAGTCCCTATGTGGTGGTTTGAATAAGAATGTCCCCCAAGGTTCCAGGTTCCAAGTAATTGGACATTTTGTCCCCAGTTGGTGGCACTGTTTTGGGAGGTGTTAGAAGGTGTGGCCATGCTGGAGGAAGCCCGTCACTGGGGGTGGGCTTAGAGAGTTCTTAAGCCTTGCTAGATCCCCAGTCGCTACTTCCTGTGTCCCCTTGGATATGTGAACCTCTGCTTTCTGCTCCTGCTCCAGCCACCTCCCGCTACCATGCCTCCCTATCATGACAGACTCTAATTCCCCTGGAAATGTAAGCTCAAATAAACTCTTCCTTTTATAAACTCCCTTGATCACAGTGTTTTATCACAGCAACAAAAATGTAATGTAACACACCCTATTACACTTTCATGTCACATGCAATCTATTGATTCTCCATCCCCATTCCAGACCATTTTTCTGCTTTCATGGTCTCCTTTTAGTTTAATGACCTACACACACACACACACACACACACACACACACACAAACCCATACATATACATATATAAAAATTAAGGGACTGGAGAGATAGTTCATTGGTTAAGAGCATTTGCTGCTTTTGCAGAGGACCCAGATTCATTTACTAGCACCACATGGTAGCTCACAATCATCTTCCAGAACTCTGACACCATTTTTTGGCTTCCATGGGCACTAGGCATACATGTTGTACCCATACATAACATGCAGACAGATACTCGACATATAATTTTTGAGTGAATAAGTAAATCTTTTTTACAAATTAAAAATCTAAGATCCTCATGTGAGAAAATATACATTATCTTTCTGAGTCTGATTTATTTCACTTAATTTAATTTCCAGTTCCATCTGTTTTTCTTCAAATGTCATGAGTTCTTTTTTCTTTATAGCTGCATAAAATTCAATTGTGTATATTATCTCCTGACTTAAATCCTCAGTGTATTTATATAACGCATTACATACACTGATTTACATATATTCAACCAACCTTGTATTCCTGAGATGAAATTCACTTGGTCATGATATATGATCTTAATGTGTTCTTACATTTAATTTGCAAGCAATCTGTTGAGAATATCTCATCTATGTTCATCAGAGACATTAGTTTATAGTTTTCTTTATAGTTGTGTCCTTATCCAATTTTCCTATCTAGGTAATGCTGGCCTCATATAATGAGTTTGATAATATTCCTCTTCCTATTTTGTGAAACAGTTTGAGATGTCCATAACTTTTGTTCTGGGGAATCCAACATTCTTTTCTCACCCATGCAGGCATTGCACACAGATGGTGCACTTATATACATCTAGGTAAACACGTATCCATATAAAATAAAAATAGTTAAAAATAATCTCTCCAATTATAAAACATTTGGAAATTTACAATTTGTTCATATATAAAATTAATATTTTAAATGAGTCTGAGACCTAAAGGTGTCTAAAAATAAGAGTCTTATAAAGGAAAACATAGGAGTGGATCTTTGAGGCCCTAGATTTGGCAAAAATTTCAAGATATGTCACTAAATGCACAACTCATAAAAGTAAGCACTGATAATAGCACTTCATCAAAATTAAATTTTTTGCTCTTCCAGAGAAGTCATTAAGAGAATTAAAAGCAGACCAAGACTCAGAGAAAATATTTGCAATTCATATCTGATAAAGACAAGAACAAAACACCCAATGTCCAAAATAGCAAAAGATTTGAGTAAAATATACCTCACCAAAGAAGATACGCAGCTAGCAGATCATGTCAAGCTATGTACAATATAATTTCTCGTAAGTGC